CTTCATCTTGTCTATACGCACGGATCCATTTTTAGGCCAGACTGTTTTGCTCGAGTCTTCGCGATAAAATGGTTCCACGACGTTTCCTCGAGTTTTGTTGCATAAAGCCGTACAAACCATGCATTATACATGGCGTCATTCCGCATTATAATTTATAATTTTTGCGACGAGAAATGAAATATTTGCGGTGCGGATTATTTGGTAATTAGTGGGCGACGGAAGGTGTGTAATGTTGGAACAAAATCTGAATTAAAAATAAGCAGAGCTCGTCGACGATCTCACGAAAGCTAGAAATTCAGGGAGAATCGCGTTTCTGCAGTATTATTGAGAGATAAATATCACCGACGCGACTCCGGCCGAAATATTTAATACTCTTTTCGGTCCCGTGTCTCGGGATATATTCCTCGAGAGGACACATTATTTTTTGCTCGCCGAATAAAGTACGCCAGCGAAGAACAGGGGCTATATTTACTCGAGCAATATTTTTTCTCCCACGGTAAACACGCTCAGGCATGAGCGCGAAGGTGTGCACGCAAAAGGTATGAAACATTGCTGTGACAATCGAAAAAGGAAACGAGGATCGACGATAAGACGGATTTCCACCGGAGCAATAAATTTCGTACCAACCCTCCTCTTTCGTCGCAGGACCGCTGTGTGGGCTCGAACCGCCCTTCTGCAAATTCTTTCAACGATATCTCGTACCAAAAAGGGTTAAAAAGAAACAAAAATTACACTTTGCTTTGGAAAACTGGTAAAATACGAATTCTTTGGGCTTCCCAATGATCTAGAGATGAAGTCAACGTCGAAATAATGATAAATAAAAGATTTTCAAACTACAGAATGGCCCAGATTTTCCATATAGCGATTAAAAAATTTGAAAAGATGTTTCTTGGAGTTGACTGTTTATGCGCATGGTCCAAGGGTTGAAGAAGCGATTATTTAGTTACCTTTGTGCGTAGAACAATCCGGACACCTGTGGAAGGCGGCCCTGTTGGCTGGCCTCTCGCTTCTGAATGAATGAACCGACATTCGAAAGGTGAACTTCTTTTTCCGACATGGTTTATACGCGCGACGAGGGAGCCGTTTACGGCTGTCGTAATCCACTGACGGCAATGACAGTTGAAAGCCCGCCGTTGTCTTTGGTCCTCGCGGCGATACCACAGTGGCAGCTTACATCAGAAACATACCTGTTCCTTTGCTTTCACGTTCGGCTTCTTTTGTCCTGTCGCCATTTTTCTTGCCCATCGGTGGCTACCTCGAATGTTGCTCTCAGTGTTCGCCAAAACTGCACGTTAACAACAAATAACCATCTATTCGATAGCAAGATTCGAATTCTTACTTTCATTTTACTATTTCACTCGATACCGCTGTTAAAGAATTTCCTTTGGACAGAAGCGGGTGGATTTACAATTAATTAGCTAGTAACAAAATTGTCGGAAACAAATTCAATATAGAGTTAGATCATGACTTCCAAGAAAATAAAAAAGACATCGTCGAATCCGAAACGAGGGAATACTGAGTGGCAGAAAAGTTGTCTTGACCTGTTCGTGCCTAACGCGAACGCGTAACCAGGCTGATTTGCCTATCTATGATCGCGGCAACGATCTGCATACGTAAAACTAGGGTGAAAACGTTGAAATTATAGGCAAGAAGTACGTTAAGGAGGCGTTGATAATCGATAAGTAACCGTTGCCTGCCCTTCAGCCAGTCGTTCGCAGCGTGTCATTACTCATTGCTCCTGCTCGCTTTCTTCGACGACGAATCGGGATTCCAGTAATTAGGAGCAATAATTAATTAGCTCGACCCTTTCTTCGGCTCTTATCGAAACAGTTGCTCGTCCCTTTTCTCTCGAACGGACCGGTCGCTCGATGTAGCTAATTATAAGCTTCTTAATTAGACCAGTTCCCGATCAGTCTCTATATTCCGTGTAACGAGAGGTACAAGCGTTACGCGGTTCTCGATGTCGGAATTAAATTGTTACTGATTATATCGTGTCGACGATTCTTCTTCAATTTCATACTGCAATCTTTGCACTCGATCGAAATCGATAATAATATATAGAAGGCGATCGTAATGTATGTGGTATGTGGCAAACTGTTCAGGAATGGGGTCAGCACTGGGAGACAGCAGAGCGAGTTTGTATAAATATGTGTATTGCAAACAAATCGAATCCAGACACGCGTCGATACTAACTTGTTTTATCACACACAAGACATACGAGCTGACCTATTTCAAGAAACATTGACAAGGGGGTTGACAGAAATTTTTCGACGAAAAAAAAAATTTCAAATCGTTCTAAAAAAATTATTTTTGGTTGCAGGGGTCAACTACAATCATTTTTGGTGAACAGACATATCCTCGAAATCCTATCCACTTTCAAGAAAAAAATTCGAGAAGGTGTGACATTTTTCGGCGAAATTGAAAAATTTCAAATCGTTCTAAAAAAATTACGTTTGGTTGCAGGGGTCAACTACAACCATTTTTGGTGAATAGACATAGTCCCGAATTCCTACGCGTTTTCGAGAAAAAAATTCGAGAAGGTGTGAAATATTTCGGCGAAATTGAAAAATTTCAAATCGTTCTAAAAAAATTATTTTTGGTTGCGGGGGTCAACTACAATCAGTTTTGGTGAATAGACATACCCTCGAAATCCTATCCATTTTCAAGAAAAAAATTCCTTACTCAAAATGTAATGTCTGACCAGGAATATTCTACTGAAACTTAATGCGTACGTTTAAAACATCATAACTTCTGTACGGATTGGAGGATTTTAATGTTTCAAAATGCAAACGACGCGTATTTTTGTGCAGAATATGTAGAAAATCCAAAAATATTCGAAAAGTTGATCCTTGACCTCGTAAAGTTAGAAAACCCCCATAAAAATGGTCCAATTTTCAAACAGTCATAACGCTTACAATAGTGAGTATATTTCAATGAAACTTTTTTCTGAAGTAGAGCTCATGGGTACCTACAAAAAAGTATTAAACAACTTTTCTGTAGAGCGTCAAACAAAATTACTAAAAATCAAAAACGAATTTTAAGAAAAATCGCCAGGGGGTAGGTGCCTAAATTTTTCGGCGAAAATAAATTTTTCCAAATCGTTTTGAAAAAAATACTTTTGGTTGCAGGGGTCAACTACAATCATTTTTGGTGAATGGACATACCCTCGAAATCCTATCCACTTTCAAGAAAAAAATTCGAGAAGTTGTGAAATTTTTCGGCGAAATTGAAAAATTTCAAATCGTTCTGAAAAAATTACTTTTGGATACAGGGGTCAACTACAATCATTTTTGGTGAATAGACATACCCTCGAAATCCTATCCATTTTCAAGAAAAAAATTCCTTACTCAAAATGTAATGTCTGACCAAGAATATTCTACTGAAAGTTAATGCGTACGTTTAAAAGATCATAACTTCTGTACGGATTGGAGGATTTTAATGTTTCAAAATGCAAACGACGCGTATTTTTGTGCAGAATATGTAGAAAATCCAAAAATATTCGAAAAGTTGATCCTTGACCTCGTAAAGTTAGAAAACCCCCATAAAAATGGTCCAATTTTCAAACAGTCATAACGCTTACAATAGTGAGTATATTTCAATGAAACTTTTTTCTGAAGTAGAGCTCATGGGTACCTACAAAAAAGTATTAAACAACTTTTCTGTAGAGCGTCAAACAAAATTACTAAAAATCAAAAACGAATTTTAAGAAAAATCGCCAGGGGGTAGGTGCCTAAATTTTTCGGCGAAAATAAATTTTTCCAAATCGTTTTGAAAAAAATACTTTTGGTTGCAGGGGTCAACTACAATCATTTTTGGTGAATGGACATACCCTCGAAATCCTATCCACTTTCAAGAAAAAAATTCGAGAAGTTGTGAAATTTTTCGGCGAAATTGAAAAATTTCAAATCGTTCTGAAAAAATTACTTTTGGATACAGGGGTCAACTACAATCATTTTTGGTGAATAGACATACCCTCGAAATCCTATCCATTTTCAAGAAAAAAATTCCTTACTCAAAATGTAATGTCTGACCAAGAATATTCTACTGAAAGTTAATGCGTACGTTTAAAAGATCATAACTTCTGTACGGATTGGAGGATTTTAATGTTTCAAAATGCAAACGACGCGTATTTTTGTGCAGAATATGTAGAAATTCCAAGACTATTCGAAAAGTTGTTTCTTCGCATCGAAAAGTGAGAAAAACCCCATAAAAGTGGACCAACTTTCAAACGTCCACAACTTCTACAATAACGAATGTATTTTATTTATAGTAAATTTATGTTTTAAATAAATATGGACCACTGGTATGCATTCAAAGGGATAGGTTTCAATCGATTATTTTCACCTGATTTATTCGAGTTCGTCTGATCCGCGGCTTTGCCCTCACACGGAATTTACGTGGGTGGTATATATTTAGCGGGGGCGTCCCATGTAGCTGGTGTGTTTCACATTCAAATCGAGGAAGTTATGTCAGGGCAGCGCTGCATGTATAAATAAATCGTAACGAATGCGGTAACTAATCCGCGAAACGTTTCGCTATCCACGCCTTTCTATCGCAATTTAATATTGAATCGACCAAGGAAGAACTACTCGAGGCTCGAATGTTCTTTTACCAATTTACGTACAAAGTATTGCATAAATCATAAGCGTAACGGTGTAAAAACTTGTCCTACCTACTTCTGCTCGAAACGCTTACAATTACAGTTCAATTACGATTCGCGAACGTATAATTCGCCGACGCGCCACGAGCAGCCATTGAACTTCGTTACGAAAAAACGTTCATTACCTTCGTCGTTAACTTAAAAAATCTCAAGGTGTGGCTAATTTTACAAAGACACCAGTCGATCGATGCCTTTATAAAGCGGTTAGCGCGAATTTATGCAGACAATCGGACGAAATTTCACGGTTCGATAGTTCCGGAGTCGTAAAGCCAGCGGATAGCGTGAGATAAAGGTCAATCGCGGAGTGACTCACCAAATTTTTGGCATACTTTTTTTCCAGATGGGCCACGTGAGAACGTCGACGGGAAGCTACGTAATTAAACCAGCCGAGCCGTGGCGAGAGGACAACAAGGATTCTCTAAATTTCGCGCTGCAACACGCCATCCAAAGGATGCGCTCGCCCGCCGTGGAATCCAACCACTTATACGACACCGATGAGCGACACAAACCCCGAAACTGCGGCGTGATCGGTGAGTTCCTTCATATTTTCAACGTCAACGATCTCTAAACCTTAAAACAAAGATTCAAGTTCAATAAATGAATCCATAAAAACTACACTTTCGTTCGAATTTTTCTCCGTGGAGCCTCGTGATTTATAGATTTTTGGCTTTTAAAAGTTCCTGCAGCCATGGTATCGGTGTTTCTTGACGACGTGAGTTTAAAAGTGAAAAGTTGGGAACGTCAAAGCTTTCGTCGCGCCGAGGTATGGTGGCTGGGGGAACGTCTCAGGCCCGTCGTCGTTGCAAATGCAGTAAAAGACGGGTTTCGGACGAGGTCCCGCGCCGAAAACGTATTAATAATGCATGCGCTCGGCCCATACACATTAGGACACGAATGCACACGTGCATCGGGTCGCAGCGTGTAGTACTACAAATGCCCGGTTGACTCGATACGTATCGTTTTATTCATGACCGTTCCCTCAGCCGCCACCGTGTCGCACGGCGAAAGTTCATTCGGGGCCCCGGCGTAAGATTCGCGAATAATACAGCCCGTGGCAAAAAGATGGGATCATCTCAGCATTATTTACCTCGCGTTGCCTAACCTTTTGCTCTCCGCGAATTTTTTTTTGCCACTGTCAAACCGGCCGCGACGTTCTACAATTTGTATCTTCAAACGACGAAAGATGATCGTTTTTACTGCTTCGCAAGGAGGAACGATTTAGAGAAAATCGGGAAGCAATTTTTAAATATTTTTACAGAATGATTTTCACTCGACCGTGGGAAATTTAGTTTCCTTTGAAAGACAAACGAAAGCGAGAGATCTTTTTGTCGTTGACTGTAAATCGGGGCTCGTGTCCCGGGCGTTTGGCCCGCGACCGGTTTCGCAAGCTCGATTAACATTCCGTTATTGAGGCATTGCATTGTCGGCCGCGTAAATCGCCGGGTCGTATTAATTATTTTGTCAGCCGTCCTATCTTAGGCGCGCTGATCGTTTCCTCGCTAACATTTAATTGCCTTACCCGCGACCCTCTTTCTTGTTTATGGTGATTTCTCTTTCACCGTGCACAGGTGGTCCACCCTGTACGCGCGACCGATCGAACCTGGTCGATCGAGGCCTGGACGAGGCGGTAGCTCGCGGAAGTATCGATATACCTGTTTATTAACAGTCCTCGACGTTTCCCGAGCGAGAGAAAAAATCACGACAGCTCGTGCACGGTGGAAATATTTTTAATTTGTTTATTAAATAAAAACACTCGAGGCGATCTTGATAAATTGGGCGTGCAATTAATCGCCTAATAAATATAGATCGTCGTCGTTTTCGCGAACAAATTGAATTTTCGAGGGCCCCCCCGGAATGAAAAAGTCTGATTGATGGTACCCTCCGCTTCTAAGATGAAGATTTCTCGCTGACGCGTGCTTTCGCCTGCTTAGAGAATCGCCACCGAGCTTAATTGATGGTCGCGTGATTTTTTTTGTTGGTTCCGTCCTCGTCTTGGTTTCGTCCCTCGTGCCCTTTTTATGCCCCCGGGGCGGACTCGTGCGAACGAATTTAAAGAACGTTAACCCTCCGCGGTCGAAGACCGGGATATTAGCAGACGCCTGTGGCGTAACTTCGGATTTTCGAGGCTTTCGAGCATAAATAAACGAACCGTACCGCGTTCCGAGCGAAACCTGCGGATTAACGTCCACCGCCAATTACCGCCGCGCAATTTCAGACAGTGTAGTGCCTCGAAATAAAAATATTACAGCGTTCCTAATTATTTAAAAATTTACAAGCAATACGGTACTCGTAGTGTTTTTGATTTTATCGAATAAATTTCTGTCACGAAGGAATCGCGATCTATTCGCAGGTCGAAATCCTCGAGGACTGTTTGGAGAAGCTTTATCGCCATTCTTCCTCGCGAAAAAAGAAACTACCTGCGATGAATGGCCGACTATCTCGAGTCGGCCATTAAACCGCGCATAACGCGCTGGATATTATCCAACAAAAGGACCATCGTCATCGTTGAAAGTCACAACACAGTTCTTATATTCTGGCCGTTGCGGCGATCGTGACCTAATCTCGTTCGAAACCGAAGGGCGTATCCGTGCGGAGACGAAGAGGTCGAGGAGAAGCATTAAGAGCTCTCGTAGCGTACCGACGACCACCTGTACCGAAACAGGTTCAGCCATTTACGGGATGCCCTCCGGCGAATTCTGACGTTACATCGAGACAGCTTGGCGACTCTCGCCTCGTTCGGACGGGACGCGCGGATAACGCTGTCGAAATTTGTATCTGTACGCGTCCGCGCGACGTCTTCGACCACCTGATCGTCGCGAAATGTTTTCAGCCCGCGTCAAACAGCTCGACGAGCGGACCGCTGCTTGGAATTCCGAACGACCATCGCACGAAACGGAATTCGTACCAGATTTCTTGCTATTCGACCGATACCGTGGGCCCCTAACCCTTTCAAGCCCGTGACAGAATTTGCAAGCAGGCAACATGCTCCACTTTTCAGACGAAATCGATAAAGAAAATAGTTTTCAGCTTGGAGGTGTTTGGCAATGAATTTTGCAAGATAAAGAGACAGGTAGAGAACTATGACACAAAGTATTTTATTGCTGGAAAGTTTGAATAATCAGGTTATTAAAGAGATTGATAAATTTTGCTGTGTCACGGAGTAAAATATTAAACATGTTTTTAGACTTTCTCTTCGTCGGTGATAACCATTTTCCCGTAGCTTCGACATTCCTGTAACTTTTCTAGTATTTACGTTTTTAATACAGGAATCCTAGAAAGCCTAAACATCGATGGTGCGAGCTTCGTCCGAGAGATTTCAACGCCTGGTTTATCCACTGTTACAGGAGACCTCGATGCGAGGTAAAATAGCACCGGTGTCCTATCGCGAGTGATTTCAACGCGTGGTGATCGAATCACCGTTCAAAATATTGAAATTCCGTCTGTAATTATCCTTAATTGCTCGATGAAATCTGAAAGGTAATTTTCGTACGATATAAAGCGATCATTCCATTCATTGGTGTCAAACGATTCCTGAAATCAGTAAATGTGCCAACGAGCAGCTGTAACTTTAAAACATTGCCTCTTACAGTCGTTGTTCAAACATTTCGAACGATCCTTGACGAAGAGGAATTTTTACTGCTGGATCCTTTACTCGATCTCCACCATTTATACTAATGGGAAAAAAATTCTGGGAAAGTTTGCTTGACACAGATGCAACATCTGTCCGAGAGGCGAGTATCAACTGGAAAGTTAATTAAATTTCTAATGTCCCGATTGGATTTGAAAAATTTCGACGGAGAGATTTAAAGTTGGCACTGAGAATCGATGGCAGACAAACGACAGCGAATCGACAATGAAACTGGAGTATATTTTGGGATCCCAAGTACCCGCAGAAGCTTTTACGAGCAAATGCAAAACGAATAGCTCGTTTCGTAAAAAAGCAATCGCTCGGGGTCCTTTTCTCGAGACTCAAAACGAGGGCTTGTCATCATTGGCGCTCGTCACGTAGGTTTTCTTGTTCGTGAGCTCAGGACTTTTTTCCCGGTTAATCAGGCGATTTCAGTTTGTTGCTCGGAGGTGCAGAAGGGCTGGCTCTCGTTCGAAATTCGCGCGTGATTGCAGGTTCATCGGCTTAACAGGTTTACCGTGCCGGAGGGCCGATTTCAACCGGTGGATCCTCGATCGATTGCGATCTCCCGCCTACGTGCGTCTACAAAACGCGCATACCTCTTCATACATGCTGTCACACACGTGTAACCAGCTTCTTCGTCCGGCGTACACGAAATATTCATGGTCGAAATCTCTCGAGACAGCTCGGATTCGGGCCCCTAAATTGCTATTAAACCACGATGACTAAGTATCTCGTCGAAAGACTAAAACTCTTCTACGCAATTTGCATTTTAATGGACGACAAGCTAACTCGTACTGAAAGATACAAGGATCTATACTTTATCTATAATAGAATATTATTTCTACTGAAAATGTTTATCGATTTTTATGGACGACAAGGAAACTAAGATTACTTTCTGTGTCCCTGGTGATCACGTGATCGGTATGAGAAAGATGGCGGCGCGCGAACAGCTGATCGAGCTGTAGAATTTAAAAAGCATTGAAATCTTGTTAAAAAATAAAACACTCTGGCTTCTATCAACAATGGTACCCGTTTAAATTAGCCTGTCAGACGGAGGATTTAAAGTTATCCGACGAAACCGAATCGAGGTTATTCTTCGGGGCCCAGTGGAACAACAGTAATAAAAAAAAAAAACGAGTGGTAAAATGCACCTTGGGCAAGAAGCGCCTGGTTAAATGGAAGGCGTGGTGAGATGCAAAAGATTTCTTTGCGCAGAAGGGGCGTGTGCCCTTCGAGGGTGGGCTTCCAAAGGCGGGCCACCACGTAACAGATCGTAGATGGAAGCGGACCGAAGGGTTAATAACGATTGAAAAGCGAACGAAAGGGTGCGGCCGCGTAATCGAGCGACGACCCGTGGCTATCTCGGTAATTACCAATAATCGCGCACGAGTTGCCCTTAGGCTACATCGCCTCGTCCCCTGACGGAAGCCAATGACCTACCTTGGATGATACACGATACCGAAGATCGTTGCGCAATATCTAGTACCGTCGGCGAATGGTACCGTTTGTTTCATTTCTTATCGGGCATGCTGATGATCGATAACTGTACAGCTTGTCCCTGAACTTGTGACGCAATCGAAGACCAACTGACTATTTACGAAATTAACGGAAACGATGATCCTTTCTGCCTTGATTGATAGTAATAATTTGTATTTCGAACCGAACCGAGAAACTTTGAAGACGTTTAGGTAAAACGAGGCGATTGGAACGTTGGATCGAATAGAGTCGTTCGCCGAAATCGGTGGGACGATTCGGTAGACTGCTAGGCGCCGGGGACCACGTGGATACCGATCGGAGTTATGCGGTGCCCCGCGTCGTACGGAAGATCGATCTCGCGATATGCAAAAGTCATTGACTCGCCACGATCGTCCCGGAATAACGGATACGGCGATCAAGATC